ATAGATTTGTCATATCTATCCGTGCAAATCATACATTATAATTTGTTGTTCATCATTATTTACATTGCGCATGGACCAGTTCTTGTTTCAGTAGATGGATTTTTCGGTTTGGTAATTAGTTGTTATATATATGTGATTTCTATCAAACGGTTGTGGTCTTCATTTTGTTAAAGTCTCTCATGAATTGCGCCAGTGTTTTCGTCTCCTCTAAGGTAATTGCGTTGTATAACGATATTCTGATGCCACCAACACTCCTGAAAAAAGGAACAAGAAAATATGTTGGAAAATGCAATATTCAAACTAAGCGCGCGTTTAACGAAAATCAACGTGACTACAGAGGAAACAAGCAAACAAACGGATGTGATTGGTAATTTCTAGAGACGCCAGTCTATACTACAAAGCATGATGGGTGATTTTATACAACAAAGCATGATGGGTGATTTTACACAACAAAGCATGATGGGAGATTATATACAGCAAAGCATGATGGGAGATTATATGCAGCAAAGCATGATGGGAGATTTTACACAACAAAGCATGATGGGAGATGTAGTCGTCTGAGGTTTTCTTCTTCCAAAAGCAGGCCTTTTCGCGTTCTTCATCGACACAAGCACCACTGGTACACGCGTTTCCAAGCTAAAAGTTACTTTCGAATTGCTGCGCATGTAAAACTATTTCACGCTCACTTATTTGACTCTGTAACGTTTTCAGTTTTGCTATTTTTCTGAAAATATCTGATACTTGTAAAAGGTAAATTAACTTCTTTTAAGAACTAAACTTCCTTCAAACTTTTGCGTTTTGAGTTTTTTTTGTGTGGTGACAATGCAAAATAGCCAAATAGCAGTGGACTAACCTCCGTTGCAGACGACTTAATTAATGAACTTCGCCATAACACGTCTGCAACGGAGGTTTATAGAGTCGACAGTTCCTCGTTTGTCGAGGTAACATTTCCTGAAGAAAAAATAGATTGTATGTACCTGTGTCCTTTAAGTTGAATCATTCCTTGCTCAGCTGCTTTCGTTACAAATTCTTTTTCTTGTTCTTCGTTTCCATCTTTGATTCTTAGCGTGACGTTCATTCGCGAACGCGCGTCTTTGTTGACTTTCCCGCTAAAAAGGAAATGCAGGGACAAATGAATAACGTTACCTGCTCTATTGACTAATAGGAGTGCGCGTTATATGAGTCCTCTCACAAAGCARGCTTGTTAACCAATCAAATTTGAGTGYGCATTMGATACAAATGWTCTCATGAYCAATAAGAGTGCGCGTTATATGAGTCCTCTCACAAAGCAAGCTCCTGTTGACCAATGCGTTACCTGTAAAATCCTTGCGATGAGTCAATGATGTCGTAAATCATGGTCGACTTTATGTAACTTCTTTGGTTTAACTCTACAAAAACGTACAATAATTTTTTTTTATAAAAGGCTCAAAGGCTATGGTTAATACTTCATGTCATTTTAGACTCCATAAGAGCCCTAACCCAATACAGTGATTTTAGTAATAGTTCCAAAGTCTGGGTTTTTACATGAAGTACTGGCAAATGGTCATCGGAAGCTTCTACGTCATGTACCGTATACGCAATGCATTGTAGGATATGTTTGTGATAGAACATGGCGGATTCCTTTTGTTTTCTCTTGCAACTGATCCCACAATGCATTGTAAATGAAGTAGTGACGTAAAAGGTTCAGAAGTCTTGTGTCTCTCTAAACAAACCTTGTAATCCTCCCAATTTTTTAATCCACTTGAATACCAGCCCCATCAAATAGATGCTGTAGGTTGGTGGTGTATTGTACATGGAATTATTGCCAGCTTGGACCTGCATGAGATAAAGTACATTGAGGCCTAGTGCTCTCACTAAAAACATCGATAGAGTATCAAAAAATGTCATGGACAAAAATGGCAAATAGCAATGCTAAACAGAGATTACATTTCTTAAAGAAGCCATGGGTTTTGCTTATTAATAAAAATAATAACTGATTTACACCTCCTTGCGAAAACGTTGTCTTAGAAAATAGGACATTTGTATTCAGTAAAAAGGAATAAATTAAAACAAGACAAAGGAAGATCACTGAGGCTGAACGCTTTCTTTTGTCTTTTAATGTATTCCTTTTTTACTAAATTCAAATGTTCTATTTTCTATGACAAAGTTTCTGCAAGTAGGTGTATACTGTATAAGATAGTCTGCGCAAACACTGGGTGCATTTCATACCCAACAAGTGAAATTTTGTGTGTGAAAACAGTGCAAACAAAGTCCCTTTTGGTGATGCAATCTCTCTTTGACAATTGCAGTAAAGACACCTTCATCTGGGGGAGACAAAAAAGCTTTTGCTGCCTTGGGTGGTTACAATTCATTGTTTTTCCCACCCTGCTTACCCCTTCCCCCCCTTTCCCCCACTCTACAAGGAATTTATTCCTGGATTTTATACTATGGGAGCAGGAGCATATCCAGTATTTTCACGTCATATGATGTCAATATTATGTCATATCAATCTATGTTTTTTGTGCTTTTTTGTCACCCTGTGACCCCCTAGATAAGGCCCTGGGGAGAATAAGTTCCTCGTCTGACATGAAGGTCTGWCATGTTTGACTCAGACAAAAAGGGCAGATGATATGTAAAATGTGTTCAAAATTACAAAGTTGTACCTTGTAATCAAAGACTATAGGACACTGTGGCGATGCTCGACCAAGGAGATCTTCTCTCACTATGATGTAAAAAATAATTCTGTTAAATTACTTTATAGTCTTTAATTGAGGCCATAATGTTTGGAAAGGCTCCATAAAAGACTTAGTGATAAAACAATTAATATCATTATGCAATAGACATTATTTATCATGCAGTGCTCCATGTCAACTCTCCTGGTAATCCAGGATTGCAAAAGATTTTGAGCAGTACCACCTAGTCTAAAGACAACTTCAGTTTTCCACGAAAATAGCAAAACTCTCATTTTTTTAAGTATATTCACAAAAGAATGGAGCCAGATTTGTAATAGCTGGCAACCATTTTTTTGGTTCAGTACTCATTGCACTTTAGCTGTCCATTCATGACAACAAAGGATATAGCTGCAATTTATATTATTGCCAAGTGAGCTTTTCTTACCAATAACCAATGTGACTCCAGCACAYCCAATGTTCTTTTGTGCTCCAGCATAGATGACACCAAACTACAGCAAAACAAATGAGAGAGCATGTTAGTACAACTGTGCCACCAAAATTTCTCGTACCACTTGGCCTAACCTGCCTCACAGCACATTGTTAAAGTGCTACTTGCAAGAAAATGGCCTTATTTCAAAACTTCAAGCAATACAAATATATGACTCATTTATATCTATTAAAAACAATTGAGGGAAAATATTTGTCTTGGAATTATCCCACATCAGAGAAATTTTGATTTAAAAGATGGAAGAACAAAAGGATCAAGTAAACGATGTCATCTATATTTTCCAACATTTTTTGCCCAAATTATTAAGGATTTGCATCAATACTTTCTTGAAATCAGTTGCTTCGTGATTATTACACCCATATGGATAGGTCTATTTGATTTCCAAGTCTTTTCTAATGTTTCGCAATTTTCGTCCAAGTAGCCCATTAATGCAACCTAACCTGCAAGCACTGTTTACCCTATGTAGCTTAAATCTCAAATATTTAACTTATTTATTTCCCATACATACAAATAATAATGTAAAAGATATTATTAACTTACTTTACTGATATCCACTGGTCTTGTCAAAATATTTGATGACATGTCGCAGACAATGGGAACTCCRTTGGTTTCTGGGATGAAGTCAAATTCAACACCATGGACGGTCTCGTTGTCACAATAATASACATAAGATGCATTGGGGTCAAGATTCCACTCTGACTGACTTGGGATTCCTGTGGTAAAAAGAACAGGGTTCAGAGACAATGTTGAATGTTCTCAAAAGCACAACAGAAGGAGAAACGTTTTAAAAATGTCAATATAGTTTTTCTGAATGTCTGACAACTAATGACTCCAACAGTAGTCCTATTAAATTTTGACTTAACTTAAAGTTATTGATCTTTATTATTATTATTATAATTTTGAAAGGTGATACTTACTGTTGTACAAATCCAGCTTAGGAAGAACWCGATTTACTTTGCCATACTTTTCAGCCTGGAAAATACATAAACCAATGACACATTTTTGTGAGATCAAGGACTTATAATTACCCCTACTAAAAGTCAGAAACATTATCTAATGTACTAATTATTTTTGGTCAATATCAATTGCTGTCTTATAAGTGAGTAATTTGAAAACAATATTCTTTCTGTTTCATTTTATAAAGTTCCCTTACTTCTTTAGCTGCTTTGGCTGACCAAGCTCCAGTACATATGTAATCGGCGGAGCCACCCTCTGAAGCATAAGAAATATTCAAGGAATTTAATTTGTATCCAAGCAAAGTAAATAAAACATCATGGCTTTTAGACTGCAAGTAACCTAATCAGCATCTGCTAAGGGTTTTTTTAAGTTAAGAAAGGTCAGGTTTCCCGTTTCTCTGCTTATAATGTTATAGTGATTATAACAATAAGCCGTACTTATATCCAAAAGTGTTTGCATGAGAGAGAAGACCACAGGCTGTATTACTTCTTTACTATTATGCATATATATTATTCATGACTTTCAAAATGGTGTGATATGTCACGGTCGACGACCAAAGTACTTGAGATGAGGCACTAAAACGAGGTCTCAAAGGCCAGTCTCTGTATAGTAAACTTCAATGGTTTCTTCCAAGAGTGTTTTGTTATAAATTATTTACCAATACATCTTTCAAACTTTTAGACACATACACACATGCGATCTTCATACTGATTTCTAGATTTCTAGAAGCACTAAAATGAGGTCTCAAAGGCCAGTCTCTGTATAGTAAACTTCAATGGTTTCTTCCAGTGTTTTGTTATAAATTATTTACCAATACATCTTTCAAACTTTTAGACACTACACACATGCGATCTTCATAGTAATTTCTAGATGGAATGCCTATGAGGTCTCGCTTCCATGATTCATCACTAGTCCCCTGATATTTTTTTAATTTTAGATTTTTGAAAGTCATGTATACGCATGTTATCAACTACTGTACCTTTCATCAGGTTCAGTGGGATGGCTGAAAATTGACCAGTCCCTCCGCCTTGAAGGAATAGCACTTTGTAGTTATCAGGTATATCCCTGACGACATAAAACATATTTGTAAATTGATTTTTTATTCATCATTATCACTATTTACATRACTTTCTTGATAAAACTAAGAGTATATGTCAGACAAACATATAAAACTAAAATATATTAAATCGCTTATTATGTACTCACAATAGCTCTCTAAGGTCATTTTCTGCGTCATTTGCAATTTTGGCAAACTCGGCTGAGCGATGGCTCATTTCTGTCAATAAAAATGTTAAATACAACTCATTAACCACTTATTTGGAAAGTAAAAAAGATATCATTTTGTAAAAACTGGATAAAATAATGTATTCACTAATCATAATCATCATCATCATCACAAAATAAAATTTAAAGTTGAAATAAAGGTTAAAAATAAAAATTACATGCACTTTGAAGCCTCTTTAATATCTCATCATCATTCCTATTACGCCTAGGTGGCATGTAGGGCCGCTGGTTTCCGTAGCAATATTAATATCTAATATCATATTATTCAATGCTTTTTTCTTGTGTTTTTTAAAACCCTATTYAGTTTCCTTATAGTGTAATGCTGAAATTTGTTTTTATTTCTTATACTAGAGAACAATAATCATACCAAAACACCATAGAATGCGCGTATTAACGAGTCAATCATGATATGATGCCTGCATTATGATCCTTTTTTTGGCATTGGGCAGTTTGCATTTGCATTACAATATTACTAGGTGTGCAGTTTAGGAATCTTACCCATAACACTTATTCCAAGGTTGCCATAATTCAACAACTCTTTCTGAGCTTGCAAAAGGACCTAAAAACAGAATGAAGTACTTGAATGATTGCAATAACATCTTAATATAAATCTTTTGACAATAAATTAAGATTTAAGACAGAAGATGACTTATCAAATTTTGATTGACAAGTTAAATGTCAAACGAAACTGTTGTGTGAAAAGATAAATTTAATAGGTGAAAAAACTTTCATTTTGGACGTTATTCCTTCCTCGGAGTAAAGAGGATTAAAAGGATTAACGTCTGAAATGTCAGTAAGTTGTTTCACCTACCTTTTTGCAGTGTTAAATTTATCTTTTATACACAACTGTTTCTTTAGAAACACTGACACAGCTCACACTAGTTTACTTCTAGTTTCAACCTAAATGTCTAAATGACATACAAACATTTAATGTATAATTATAATAAAATCCCATTATGGTATATTTGAACATATAAATGCTGGCATATACGCCAGGTTTTGACTGCCTGCTTTTCTTGTATGCATTTCTGCCAAAACAAACCATTTTTAATTTGTCTTGTCTYCACAACACAGGAAGTGACAAAATTCTGATTTTTTTAAAGAAAGTTCCAGAACATGTTCTGGAGGGATTAGAAGATTTTTGTTCCTGTGCCATATTGCAGGTCAGGACTTGATGCCAATGTTGTGCCAGACATAACACCGGCCACAGTTAATGTTATATCAAATTGAAAGTGAAAAGAGGCAGAGAAATTACAAATAGAAGCATAACTATAT